GTTGGATGGTTGGGTTTAGAGGCTTGTAGCTATTGGCTTACAATCCATCTCCACCTGGAGGCCAGTGGAGTACTCAGGCACCTATCCCAGGACCTGCCCTATCCTAATCCATGGCCTGAAGGAGGTAGGACCACGCTCTTGTGAAGTAGATGACACTAAGCTGGGGGAACCACTGAATGTGCTCAAGGAGCTGCCATCCAGAGGCACCTCCACGGGCCAGAGAAAGGAGTCAAGAGGAACCTTAAACACACAACAGGAAAGAAACCCTGCACAAGAGAAGAGCACAGGGGCATGGGTAAGGGGTGGAACAAGGTTATTATGGGGGGTGAGAGAAGGCAGAGCCCATGTGGGACCCCAGTCAGCGAGGTGCCCTCAGGGGACCACAGTGACAATGCCACATGGCATCTTCTCCAGCCATAGGTCCCACAAGCCTGTTTTTCCACCTCTTTGCTGTGCTGCCGTAGGCAACTGCTCAGGTTACGTGGCTGTAAAGCCGGGTCTGACTGCTGAATAGCATCACAAGAGGAAACAGATGCATCCAAAGCAGCACTTGACACCAACCACCTCGGCTGGAAGTGGCTCCTCCTGGCACAGGGCTGGCAGGAAGGTGGCAGCTCCCAGGCCCAGAGGCACGTCCTGGGTTGGCATCTCAGCAACATCCGCTCGGGATGAGATCGAGACACAGGAGGAGCCAAACCTCCCGACTCCACTCATCTGTTGTGGCTTCTGCAGAGCAGAACCATGGATCCAAGCTGGATACGATCCTTCCTTCCCTTCAGACCTCAGCCAGCACCAAGAGCTGGGCCAGGTCCTCCAGGACCCAGTCCTAATGCTTCTCCTCACCAGCAGCACCAGGGGATGAAGCAGGGAAGGCAGCAAGCTGGGCTGGCCCTTGCCAACCCTGCTGACAAACACAGATCCATGAGGAGCACAGAGCAGGATGAAGAACAACCAGCTCCAACCATGGTTAGGAAATAGCTATGAAAGGCAAAAGTGGTGCCAATCAGTAAACAATGGATGGGAAGCAATATTCATTATGTCTTCAGGAGCAATGGGGCACTTGCTGCACCAGGCACAGGGCTCTGGAGTGCTCCTGCCCTGAAGATGGTTCAAATGACATTTGCTGGTCCCTGGTCTTAAACCATTTTCTCCATTGTGCTGACTCTGCTGAAGGCCACAGAAAAGAATAACTGTGGCCAGACTGCATGAACCAAAGTCCCTAGGTTGTTCTCCTTGGTTTTAGTTGGTTTTGGGGGATATGCAATATTAAGTGTTGTTGTAGTGGTGCTGAATGTGGTCCTCTCTTTGGGCATGGGGCAGAGGCTTTCAGGCAGCAAGGATGTCAGCATGTTCTCTCCCCACCCTCCTGGAGGGGCAGAAGGAGGTGTACAGGGACAAATCCGGCATGGTTTTGTGAAATAAAGTGAGGCCAGAGTAGAGAGCACATGGCCTTTAGGGCTGGGAGAAGACAGTGGGACACCCTTCTTGCTTAGACCATCACGAGCAGGAGCCAGGAGAACTTCCTAAAGCTGCTGAAAGTGCTTTCATCAAGACAGATAAAAGACTCAGGGAGGAACGTGGTCCTGGAGGATGCCACCACTGGTCCCATGTGAGGAAGGCTGGAAGCAGGCAAGTGCCAAGCTCGCGGTTCCCTGGCTGCAGCACAACCATCCCCAGGGGAAGCCTTTCCCTGGGAACAACGCCCTCTTCCAGCTCGCCCTCCATTCCCCGAAGCACCGAGGGAAGAATAGGAGGAAAGCTCTTTCTTTTATTTCTATTTAACTTCTCTGCTTTGTTATTCTTTTCCCAGGCTCCCCAGATTTGATGGCTGCAATAGTCCTCTTGTTCTCATCTGCAAAGGCCTCTCGTCTGGTTGCCACAAAAATCCCTCCTTTTCCCCAGCTGTCTTCAACAGTGATCGTTGGGCTGAGCTTGGGTATCCATTTCCCTTCTCCAACTTAAATAACACTCTATTCCAAGCAGAAAAACATATTTTGATCCAAACCACCGTCCAAACTCACCGTGCTCCATCAAACCATTTTAACGAGACCTGGACCCACCTTTTACTTCCCTTGGCAAACCATGTCTTTGACTAAAATCCCAATGTTGACCCCAACAGACCTTGTTGTGAAGACACTCTCTGCCTGCACAGATCTCACCCCAAACCCTCAGGATGGTTCCCGAAATTGAACTTTTTGATTCTGCTCCCAGGAGATGCAGTCACCATGTTGGATGTAGTGGCAGACCCTTCCTTCTCCCCCCCATCCTGTTTTCCAGCCTAGGTGATGGGCACAGAGGATGACGCAGCAGAGCCCCCCGGGATGGGGCCTTGGTGTGGACTATGTTTGTGCCAAGGGGCACAGCCACTCCCTTGGCTCCCGAAATGCTGCCCAGGCGAGGGAGCAGCTCTGACCCAAATTTCCTTTGCTGTGATTAAACAACTGTTGCCATGGCTGACATCAAAATCCAGCGGTCTGCCCACTTCCCTGAGGACGGTGATGAGTGCCGGTTCCATTACCCAGCAAACCCCAGCATTTATCACCCCAGCCTCACCTGAAATGAACTGCAATTTTGATTTTTGATTTGTTTTCCCCAGCCCACAAAACCAACCCATCCAATAAATAACAGCAGCATTACCACCCGGTGTCCCAGCCACATCCCCAGCTCCTCCTCACCCATGTCCTTGCTGCCATCCTTGCTTCCTCCCACCCGGCATAGCTCCACAACTAATGATGGTGGTAATAAGCTTTTATTTTGGGGGGAAATGAAAGGAGGTGGAGAGAGGAAGCTTTGCAGGGGGAAGGGAAGAGACATTCCTGCCTCAGTCATCAGGCAACTTTCCCCTTCCTCTTGCTCGCTCCCTCGCTGACCTTTGGCTGAGCCTGCCCAAGCTATAAAGGAAAAGGGAAAAAGGAAAAAAAAGAGACAGAGAAACTAAAAAGCCAGAGGAGCTGAAAGGACAGGCAGAGGGAGAGATGTTATCTCACCTCTGCTGATGATTTATCATCAAAGGATGGTGGATGGAGGCAGAGGGAGCTATGTGGGCAGCACAGAGGGGCTTTGCTGGGGGATGCCCAAGGGGAATGAGTTAGGGGTGAGAGGCTGAGACTGAACATAGGGATGTATATGCTGATTGGCAGAAAAGGGAAAACCCCGCTGATGCTGCACCTTCTGAACCATGCTGCACTTTATGAACCTGCCCCCAGGCAAGCAGAGGTCTCAACTTCATAGGTCATGGTGACACCCCCTCCTTCCCTGCGACACCAGCCCCTGTGCTTCATGAAGCTCACCAAAGGATGAGCACTCTGCATGATTAGAGAGTTTCCATCATCCCACAGAGTACCCAGCAGGACCAGCCTGTGCATATGTCCCTGTCCTCTCCTGGGCTGCACCTATAACTTGGCTTTGGCAACCATCTCAGAGCCTGGCACCTATCACTGCTGATAAATAGGTGGTCCTGTTCTCCTGGGTTGGCCCTGTGTGTCAGGGTTAGCTGACAGTGGCAAAAACCCCATCCCAGAGCCACGGAAAAGGGATGACATGAGTCAAGGTCACAAGCCTGTAGAGTCAGCAGCCACAGATTAACCATTGTGATGGTTGGTCAAAGACTCAGGCCCACCCATGTCAGGTAAAGTAAGAGTCTTCTCTGACAAATGACTGTCCACAGTTATAGAGCTGTCCTGCGAAGGAAAGAGAGTTGTATCTCAAAGAAGCAAAATTTATGCATGACGCCTTGATATAATTAGTAAAGGCTTTTTATGGAGCTGCTGTGTAGCAAAAAATATCCCTTATATGTGAAGTTCATGTCCTTCTGCACACCTTTAGGCCACCACCGTGCCCCCACATACCGGCAAGGTGACAAGAGGGGCCATAGTGGCATGGTGAGGGCAGACAGGAAAAATCCTGGCAGAATCTGTGTCATGGCTGTGATGGGAAGTGGATGGGAATGGGGACTTTGCTAGACGCCAAGATCTTCCCCATAAGGTGACACATATCCCTGTGGGCAGAGATTTTGGGGAAGTTAGGCTATTCTTAGCATCCCTCTCCCACCTCCTCCTGTGGATATGTGTGCCTCATCTCAATGCCCGGACTCTTTCTCACTGCTACAGTCACCGTCTGTGAACCCTACCCACAATATTACTGTGAAGACAAAATGTTTATGATGTGTTTGCATTCAGAGGAAACTTCCCATGCGTGTAAAAAAGTCATCACTGGCAGTTTCTTTATCCTTCCCTTGCCCAAGGTCTAGCGGAGAACTTATTTTACAGCAAGTTATTTATGGCCCAACAGAAGCACTGCTGACAATTTGAGATTCACAGCTCCAACCCTGGGCAACGAGGCAGATTTTTCTGAGAAAGCCTTCTACAGACAGCAGCAGGAGACAAAACCATCTTTAGAACAGGATGGGGGAAAGCCCTCTCCTGCTCTGCTGAACATTAACACTTGAGTTGCCTTTTCTGCTTGCCCTCACCAAGGTTTTCCACCACCCCACCCCAAACCATGGGGAGCTCAGGCTCTGAAATGTCCCCAACCCTAGTGGCAGGGATGGGTTTCTGCTGCACTAGCTGGGTAGTAAGGCCACATGGGACCTCACCTCTCCCCCTCTTTCCTCCCCTCCGGTCTGTCTCATCTGTTCAGGTGGCTTCACCTGCTTTTAAGAAGCTTTTTAAGCGTTTTAAGCCTCTTATTGGGGATTTTCACAATGTTGGGATTTGCAAACTCCAGCATTGAGTTTGCAAATACCAACCGTCGGGCTTTGCAAACCCTTGGACAAAGGGGTCTTGCTTGTAGGACATGATTTTAACTGGCAAAAACACAATATGCGGGAAAAGCCACACATCCCTGCGGATGTAGGTACTTCTGGGGTGAGAAGTGTTGATGCTGGCAAAGCAAACCTCTAGGAATCATAAAGCAAACATCTATGAATCATGGGCTCCTCGCTGCTGCAACACAACAGCATGGCCCGCAGGTGGAGAAGGACAAACTCTGAAGGCATTTACCTCCCTGAGGCAGGTATAAATGGGGCAGACAAGGACTCGGAAGGGCTCTCCGGTGCTGCTCCGCATGGTGCCGAAGACCTCGCAGAGGAAGGTGATGAACCCCAGCCAGCGCTCCACGTCCCGCTGCTGCAACTCCTCCCGCATGGTGAAATCCTTCTGCAGGAGGGACAGAGACAACAGGCTGCATCAGCAAAACCGCATCACCCTGGGAGAGGCAACGGCTGTCTAGAGAGAGAATTAGGAGGAAATTGAAACTCAGGGTGGTGGGGAGGAAGACAGACAGACTGACTCTTTAGTAACAGCAGGGAGATTACTCAATGCACACGGAGTGGCTGGAATTTCAACAGAAGCAAAGTCACCAGAAAGCAGGTACTGTAGAAATGTCACCAACTCCTGCAATAACTGTCATGGCTTGCACTGGAGATGGTGTCCCCCGTGCCCGCCCTTCCCCTCAGACAGATGCAGGGGCTCTTTTCTGTATGCACAACCAAAGTCAAATGAAACCAGCAACAAAGAGGTTGAATGAGATGCAAGGGGAAATGCAGTGGATGCTGGTGGCCATGGCAGGGTGGTCAAGGTGGACTTGCCCACCCTGTGGATTCCAGTATCTTCTGCAGACCTGGTGTCTGGCCAGGGGCATCCTAATGGACTGGCTGCTCCCTGGGGTCTCATGAAATTAAGGTAGAGACTGGCTCCCTGCCCGAACAGAAGAACATGAGGGCATCCTGGGCTTGGCATTAAAAGGTCACCCTGCTCCGGAGCTGACGGTTGCCATGGCCAAGGATTATCCGAATGACGTGATTTATGGAACAACATCAGGAGGAAGCGTGCAGGGAGGTAGCTGCTTCCCCATCAGTCCTCCAGCTGGGGAGAAAAACAAGGGCTTTGCCCAAAGGCAGGGTATGAAAAGGGGTATCTGTGTGTTGGGACTGTGTGGCAAAGAGGCTGCGTTTTCCAAGGGGCAACACAGAAAAGCAAATAAAATCCTTTCTAGAGGAGGACACAAGAATGTGCATCGCACTCAGAGCCAAGAGGGTTTCCCTGGGCTCTCAGCAATGCTGCAGAGCTTCCTGCAAGATGTCCCACAAGACTTTGCTGGTCCGCCTCTATAGTGACCTCTATGTCACTGTGACCTCTCTCTGTCAAGTGACCTGTCCTCGGCATTAAAAATTAGTAGACACTAAGTACAGGGAAATTAAAGAACAGGACAAGTTTGTTCTCAACACCATGTGTTCCCAGGGCGGGTTGCACAATGTTTGAAATCCAGCGACTAAATAAATCATCTTATTTCTTTTTCATCTCGGTTTATTCCTCCTGCCTGAGACAAAAGGGTTTGCTGCTGCGAATGCTCCAACCTGCAGCTGCACTCTGCAGAGGCAGGGAGATATAAAAGCCACCACACCAAAGTTGTCTCTCATGCCCCGGACAACACACGGGAGATACTTCTTTTGAAACAAAGGTAAGTAAAGCAGCTGCTAAAACAAGCCAGGCAAAAGCATGATGATTGCTTTCATGACACAACCGTATGCATAGAAGATCCAAGACAGGAGCTATTTATATGTTTCATTACAAAAGGGGGAAAAAAATACATTTGCATATGCAGGAAAAAGACTTGTAAAATAACCGAGGCACTTACTAACCAAGCAGTGATGACTAATTCCTCTCTACACCCATTTCTATAAGGCAATTGCCCAACTGTGTCTGCGACTCCGAAGTCAACCTGCAGCCAAATCCTGTTGGGTCTTTGCAGACTCTCTGGGGGAGTCTGCAGAGTTCGTCCTTTCATTATCCAGCCAGTGCCAGGGTGGTGATGGAGGAGGAGAAGGGCTATTTGCCAGCTCAGGTTATCACCATGGGGTTACCAAATTACTTGTTCTGGAGTTTCCACTTGAATTAAAGTAAAAAATCAAAGAGAAGCGACCTCCTGACTATTGAGAAAGTAAAAACACAAGTGAGAGCATCCCACACCCCTCGTTTGCACTGATGGAGACCTCCAGCCTTGCCCACCCGTAAGACAACCCACTGGCCACTTCCACCCTGGGACAAAAAGCACCTTTTGAACCCTGGAGATCTTCCTCGATGCCCACAGACCTCTGACCTGTGTCCTGCATCTCACACAGCATCCCACCTGGCTCCAGCCCCATAGCCATCCTGCTCCTCCCTGCCTGGATGCCCTCCAGCAGCCCCCATGTCCTGCCTGGGACAGTCCAACACTGATGTGTCCGGGGAGCCAGGCGTATTTTGGGATCTCTGGGGAATGCTGGGAAATTCCTTGCAGGTCGGGATAACCGCACAGGCTCTGTGGTCCCAGATTACTGGGAAAGATAAAAACCACTGCAGGAAACTCTCCTCCTTCCTGTTCCTGCTTCAAACACATCGCCCCACTCCGCAGCCTTGCAAGAGAGAAAACCGACTCTTCAGCGCTTTATCTTAAAAAACACTTTTTTTCTGTGAAGAAACCATGAAAACAACCAACCAACCAACCAAAAAATCTGTAAAACAACCACCAAACCAAGCCAAACTCATCATGGGTGCTGGGCAGGAAGGGATGACACCACGCAGCACCCTCTTTTCTTCATCCTCTGGCACCCAGTGGGTGATGCCACCCAGCAGAGACATCAATGGACACTCTGTCCAACCTGAAGAAGACCCTTGCAAAATAAAAAGGGACTGGGGTTCTCTCCCAACCCACCCATGTTCACAAAATGCTTGTGCAGACTTTGATGGAGCCCCATGAAGGATAGGAGAGAGGGATGGAATGTGGGATGGATGCAGAGGTCACTGTGAACATTGTCACCCAGAATGTGATACTGCAGTGGAAGTAATTCTGCTCCATTTGCAGCCTCAGATTGGCCCAAATGCTGCAAAAGGAAATCATTTGCATGCACTCTGCAAATGGATGTGATACTGATTCCTTCGACCAAGTAGGAAAAGCAACTTGCCAGAGGTAGGAACTGCGTTTTCTTGGACCATGCCTGACTACAGGCAAGAGCTGGGCTTGCCAGGGGCTGAACCTCAATGGTAGCTGGGCTTGCAGCGCCAGGGCTCTCCTGAAACATCCTGAGATACCCATCTCCTTCAGCCTCACATGGTGGTGCTATACCAGTGTTACGGTGCACATGAGGAAAGTGACCTGGGGTGCTTAATTTGTCCTTAAATTTGGCCTTCAGACAGCAGGTATGACCACTACCATGGCACACACAAACAGCAAGCCAACACGAACGCTGTGCAGAAGTGTCCAGCCTTCCTGGGGGTGTCCACGTATGGAGAGATCATTGCTCTCATCTAGGTAATCTGATCAATGAACTTACATGTGTGATTGACCTGGTTGCACATTGGCTGTGCTCCCAAAAGGACTCACAACCCATCATGCCGGGCATGGAGAATGTGGAGACCAACTCAATGGCTTCTCCCAAGGGTATGCGACCAAAACAGATGAGCCAGACCAACAGCATGGGAGAGGTGAAGATCTGGCCGGCAGCGAAGAGCGGCTCAGCAGAGAACAAACCCATGTCCCGTGTGTGCCCGGGGCACATCCGATGGAGCCGTGCCCTGACCCACAGACCTCCATACCACCAATGGGAAGCCTTGAGGAGGCTGAAGAGTGCTGAAACCACATGGCCAGGTCACTGCCCTGCCCAGTGACCTTCATTTGCTCTGGAAATGCCTCACGGAGCTATATAAAAATAACCAGTGGATTGGCTTGCCCCATGCTTAGGTGGTGATGTCAGCGCAGTAAGCAAATTATCTTTCATCAGTTTGGCTGTATTTTTAAACACGAATTGTATTACTAATTTGGGGGTGCCCTGGCCCGTAGATAATCTGGGCGCGTTTACTGGATGACCTTGCTTCAGTGCCTATGGCTTAAAATAAAATGTATTTATACCAGGTAGCAGGGTTGACTTCCCTTCTCTGCCTGGTTTGGGAGAAGAGTTCATTGGGAAACCATGTGGCAAGCAGGAGGATGCCAAGGGGACCTCCAAAGAGGCCTCATACAGGACAAGTTTGGGGCATAAACCTGAAGGCTAAACATGTTCATCATGTTGGGCCTCACCACGTGTGATGGGTAGGTCAGGGCTTAGCCCAGCCTCTGACATTCCCTGTTGGACTCTTTCTGAGCCTGCCTGAAGCTCCTGCCAGCAATGGAAATAGAAAATGCCTTTACCTTGGGGTTCTCCACTCTTACACCCAAGTGAAAGCCCACTCCTCGTAGATGCAGCTCATACAATGCTATCCTTTCTTGACCCAGACATAAGACCTCTCCAAGACCAGAACCAAGCTACAAGAGCCAAGTGGATTTGCCACTCTAAGGGATAGGAGGAAAATCCATTTCTGGTGGGCAGCAGAGTCAAGTGGGACGAGAAGAAGCGTTTTGCCATCAAATCTAAGCCCTCACTGTAGCACAGACAGCTGCAGCCGAAAATTCATCCCCTGGGACTTTGCCACACTGTTTTAAGATGAGTCCCAAATAACTCTTCCCTAGATCTGGGCCCACCGCCTCATGGCTGACTCTGTCAGCAGCAACTCGGAGGGCAAAAGTTTAGCGTGGGATAAAAATGAGGGTTAATTTAAGCATCGCCACCTTCTGATGGAAAAAAAAAAGGACAGATTTAGGCTTGTTGCTCTGTAAACACAGGGCTCTTCCTCTGGCAGTTCTGCTGTTTACTCAGTCATTGTCAAGGAGGCAGGAAATACTGAGTCAGAAATACTGTGCAAAAAAGAAATGTATAATGCTTAGATATCAGTGCTGGGCGCTATATAAAAAGCTGAGAGAGGCTGTGCTAAATACTTGATCTTTCTGGCAACGTGCTCCAACAAAAGGTTGGAGCCTTAAATGGCTCTTTGGAAAAGGCCTTCAGACAAATAAAACAGGTTGGAGAAGGGAGCTGGTAGGTAGAAGGTGAGACAGCATCTGTTGCTCTCCTGCAGAAGCACAACCTGCGCCTGGTCCCTCTCCAAACCCTCCTAGAAAGAGCTCCAGTAAAGGACATTTTCTGCACTTAACAATGAAGCATTATTCCCCGGTTGTAATTTCAGTAATACCTGTATTTAGGTCCTGGCTTGGAGGAGGCTCTGGACTGCAACTGTGCTTTCTGGGGAGTATAACCCAGTGAGATGAGTGCTTTGTAGCACTGGCATTCAGAAGGAGTTCAGGA